TTAGTGTGTTCTTCATTAGAAGTAGAGTTGCCACGATGTAATGTTTCATTATACAACATAAAATATCACGATATGACAGTTATCGTGCTGTAAGTTTTCCCCAGACGTTTGCATCGTATTTCACGCGTTTTTATTGCATTGTTTTTAATGTGCTCTGCCGTTTCGTCGAGTACTAATAAATATTTCTTCTGAAACGTTCTTCAAACGCAGTTCACTAATCATTGCAATCTACGACGCTTATAACGGACACACCGCGAGGTTTGCAACAACGTGGTCTGAAATATCTGCGCATGGCCTCGGTACGCCCAAGTGACCTTGTCGGCCCAGGGTAGACTCGAATGGCTCTGGTAACAGCCTCGCATAATGACCCCGTTCAGTCCACGAAGTCTCCCGTACGTCTCGTTGCGTCCCCACACAAATGTACATTGTTGTTTGTGCTTTTTGTTGTGGTGCCATTTCTTAAATTGTTTGCTCACATTTGATTTTGCTTGGTAGTAGGGGTTTCATTTGATTGGTCGTGGCTGTATATGGGATTTGTTACTTGTATGTAGTTAATGTACAGCGTTGTGGGATGCTGTTAGCATGAATGACGCTATATAAAATGCAAGTATTTTGTCATTACTCTTCCCTTTACATTTACTATCTTTACTGACACTGTACGTAGGTTTCCTTTAAAGACCAGATACTTTCATATTCCCTCCTTAAATTTACAAAAATGTATTTGAAATTATATCACGTAAAGGACTATAATACCCCTACAAAATGTATTTACAGTAATTTACTGCGACAAGCACATGATACTTGCTAATAACATAATTACATCATACGCTGTACTCTTGCTCACTCCTTCGTAATAATCTATGTTCGGCATTTTCCACCCTTATTTGTACTTATCGACATTTTCTGTATTTTGCCCCGTGCGGAATTATTCTACTTACCCCCTCACCTTCACCCAATACCTTGAGTCATAGTTTTCATAGTTCATAGTTTCATTTATTTGGTATAGCTCTGTGAGCCATTTCGGCTCTTGAATCGGGCGCAACCACAACAAACAAAAAACCAAAAACATGAACAAGAAACCATCTTAAAGTGACTTTGTGCATGTGCAAACAGAAAATCCCGTCCATGTTCCACGTCAATAGTGTAATGCGCAGGATGTTATAAGGCGTTACGAGATTCCCCTGGGGTTTCCGGGCTTGGCGTCACTCTTGTCGTCCGGAACCAGAGACGAACAGAGAGTGGGGGCCAGGTTTTTTTTTCTTTCCCAGGGCCCCCAGGCCCCTGAGAGCTGGCTGCATATATACGTCCTTGCGTAAATGTTGCCAGCCAAATGTCCGACGTTGGCATGTGGAAAGAACCGTTAGACCAGCAGGTCTGCAACCTGTGGCTCTGGACTCACACGCGGTGGGCTCTTTAACGACTGCTTCGTGACGTTATGTATGTATATATTCACATGCATGTATATATTCACATGCATTGCGGGGCTCTTGAAATATTGAGTTTTGTACTGAATTCGAACAAAAATTGCTGCTGTTATTTTGGTTTGCCGACCCCCTGCTGCGTTAGACCGACGTCGGCCCCAACATTGGCCCAAACGTTCCGGGTTGTCCTCACGGTCCCTCCGTTTGCGACTATTGTTGATCACACGCTTAATCTGTAGCTTGTCCAAATACCTTGTTTTTTTTTAGGTCTATACACTTAAAACGTGGGTTTCCTACGCGAGAAGTCGCATGCATCACGATCCACAACAAACGTAATCTCCCATCAAGACGCTTCGGCACCAAAACGAGTCACAGCAGTGTCCACTACTGAACACTTTAGAGGTGGAAACGCAACACTTTCAGCAAGCGGCAAGATAATAGATACAGCCAATGACAGATTGAGAGAGTCTCTGGAGCGGTGTTTCTCAAACTTATTTTGGTCCATGGATCATTCAACCGATGCGAACATTTCCGTGGGCCACCCAGCCAGCCCACCTCTGGTGAGGAAACGCATTCACTTATCTCTCAATACCGGTAATACAAAGTTACAAACATTAATGGAATATTTTTTTGTTTATGCAGCTTTTGAGTATTTTTTTTAGCTCTTAGAATTAGGGAAGTTTCATCAGGGTAGTTTACCAAACTTCGTTTTCAAAATAAATGAGTAAAATATTGAGTCTTGTCCGAAACAAAAGGTATAAACATATTCATTATTGTCGAGATCGACCTGCGTTTGCATCGGAGTCACCGCGGACAACGTGATGGTTACCGGGGACCACAATTTGAGAACCACCGCTCTAGGCAAAACGGAGCAAAACTGATATCTCTAAACCACTTGAAGTAAAAAAAAACTACCCTTTAATACAGGCACCACTGGTTGAATCGCTATAATCCTCGACAAAAACATCGGGGTTAGGATCGGCACCGTCCACACAGTGAAACAACTATTAGCACCGGTTTAAGGACAAAATTGTCACTCATCAGCTCAGGTGTACAGCGAACTTTGCATGCAGCTGTAGCACTTGGCTCACCGCGTGGCAGCTGCTGCCTCGTCTTGAGGAGTTCTGCCTTCGACGGCGAGTGAATACTGTGTGGGTTGGCGCCTTTACTACAAGACTACATGAGTATTATATATAGATTTTTTTCTTTGAACCTATCTATGTGACTTTACCGAAAGACCCAAAGAATATTAATTCCCGAAGTCGCGAAAGCTTTAAGTCAAGATTTACATGAGTATTATTATTTCTTCGAAATTGTTTTGAGACGATTAACATTTAAAAAAAAAGTATCCAGGCCCACATTACAAAGAACTGGGAATGACACATTCTTCGGAAATTGGTAAGTTCACGACGGGTACTTAAGGTACAAGTCAGCTGACGAAGCAGTCTCGATTTACCAGCTCCTTTTAGCTGAAGCTCAAAGCAGTTTGAGCGCAACGTCGTATATTATATAACAGTCCATATAAAAATATATACTAAATCTTTGATCTTCTTTGGTTCTTTCGGTAAAGTCACGTAGAATGAGAATAAAATAATAAATTAATAAAATAACAATTTAATTCTCACGACGTTTCGGCCACAACACAAGTGGCCTGGGCCACTTGAGAATTTTATTGTGTTATTTTATTAATTTATTATTTTATTCTCATTCTATGTGACTTTACCGAAAGAACCAAAGAAGATGAATCCTTGCAGTCACGAAAGCTTTAAATCGAAATTTAAATCTTTTATATTTTACCAGATAATGCCCACTGAGCTATTTAGTTATTTTTCAGGAGTGACTTCGCCACAAATGATAGCTCAACGAAATGGCTCATCACGTCGACATTTACATAAGCCAAGTACTCTAAACGCATGCTTCTAAATGTGGAGGGGAAAAACTGAAGAACCTGGAGGAAAAAAAAACTACGCGACCACGGGGAGAGAGGAACACGCAAACTTCAAATATACAGCAGCAGCAGGCATCGTCAGGGTCGTGATCGAACCCACGACCTCCTGCATATCAGGCGAGGTAGTCAACATCTCCTAGCCACCGCGGCACCCCGCTCGCGACCGGTCCAGTCGGAGCTTTATCGGTCAGAATTTGATCAAAACGTCGGCACGGATAATATAATTTCTTTGTAAACATGACAATCTTGCTTGGTGGTGGAGGTCTCGTGGCAAGGCAAAAAAATTAGCACGTGGCAGAACCCAAAAGAAACGGTAAAAATCCCTCCTTAACGGCGGTAAATGGTTCCACAAAACCGGTCGCTAAGTGATCTGGTCGTTAAGCGAGTATAGGAAATGCACGTTCAAGGCTTAATTTGTTCCGATTGCATCGAAAGTTACATTTTTTTTCCACTACCATACACTACACCATACACACCACATTGGGCTCTATGGAGGCCTGTCGTTTCGCGATTAGTCGTTAATCGGGGTGGCCGTTAAGAGGGGTTCAAGTGTCCAGTAATACCTCCTATTTACGTCTCCCCACTTTTACGTCGTTGGCAGCATCGTCGTACATTCTCGTTATCCGTCGCGTCCCCAGCCTTCGCCTCCACCACCGCCTACCCTGTAAACCGCTTCCCACTCGCGCCGTTTCGATATCCGTTGCCGCACATTTTCTCCGGAACGCATCCCCGACGTAAAGTGGGGGTTTGCCCGTATATCCCTGCCCCAGGATAGATTCCCCCCGTGCCGTAAATTTGCCGCGGTCCCTAACTCTGACAATCGGCGGCTGGTGACAGGGACCACGCGTTTCTCTGGCGCTGTTCCTCTCTGACAGCAGCAGCAACAGTAGTAGTAGCAACAGTAGTAGCAGCAGCAACAGCAACAGTAGTAGTAGCAACAGTAGCAGCAACAGCAGCAGCAACAGCAGCAGCAACAGCAGTAGTAGCAGCAACAGCAGCAGTAGCAGCAGCAACAGTAGCAGCAGCAGTAGTAGCAGCAACAGTAGCAGCAACAACAGCAGCAACAACAGCAGCAGCAACAGCAGCAGTAGCAGCAACAGCAGTAGCAACAGCAGCAGTAGCAACAGCAGCAGCAGCAACAGCAGCAGCAACAGCAGCAATAGCAGCAACAACAGCAGCAACAGCAGTAACAACATAGCAGCAGCAGCAGTAGCAACAGTAACAGTAGCAACAGCAGCAGCAGTAACAGCAGCAGTAGCAGCAGTAGTAGCAGCAGCAACAGCAGTAGCAGCAGCAACAGCAGCAGTAGCAACAGCAGCAGTAGCAGCAACAGTAGCAGTAGCAACAGTAGCAGCAGCAACAGCAGCAGTAGCAGCAGCAACAGCAGCAGTAGCAGCAACAGTAGCAACAGCAGCAACAGCAGCAGTAGCAACAGCAGCAGTAGCAACAGTAGCAGTAGCAACAGCAGCAGTAGCAGCAGCAACAGTAGCAACAGCAACAGTAACAGCAGCAGTAGCAGCAGTAGCAACAGCAGCAGCAGCAACCGCAGCAGAAACAAGAAACAGCAGCAACATAAACAACGGCAGCAGTAACAGCAGCAACAGGAACAGCAGCAGTGTCAGTAGCAACAGCAGCAGTGTCAGTAACAACAGCAGAAAACCCGCAGCAACAACAGGAACAACAGCAGCAACAGCAGCAACACCAGCAGTGTCAGCAACAAACCAACAGCAGCAGTAGAAACAGCAACATAATAGCATTACCTTCGATTAGCAGCAGTTGGCTACGTGCGGTGTGAAAGAAGTTCAACGCATCAGGGTCTTCTACACGGCCATTGGCTGTTTTGTTTAAAATTAGGGTCTGTGTTGAAGGCAAAATTAGCCCCTATTTATTATCACATTATTTTTCTGGATTATAAGACGTTCCGGAAAGTAAGACGCACCTCATGTAAGTTGTGCCTAGGGTCACAGTTCAATTTACACAGATGATGACACACCCGCCCATCTACCGGATTATAAGACGCAACCCCTTCCCCAACTTCTTTAGAATGCAGGGGCCGTGCTGGGTTGGGTGCGTCTTATAATCCGGAGAGCAGCGAGAAAGTGCCGTATACTTATTAATATCGTTTAATATCGTAATCATGTTCACCTACATGATATAAATATCCACGATATGGCGATTGTTGTGATATCAAAATAGCTGTCTAAACTGTATGTTGCGATGATTTTTTTTTAATGCTGTAGTGTCGTTTCGTGCTTTTGCTTGTGCGACCAGTCTCGCACATTGCACATCGCTTTAATGTCCTTCAACTGCACTTCACGTGGCATTAATTTCACTCAACATTCGGGTCACTCAACTTGATGTCTTCGATTTTTGGTCACCGTCTGCCGGGTGGTTGACCTGGGGGATCACCTTAATTCAGCTGTTGTGGACGGGAAAGGAAGCAGCTCTTAAGAGATGTAAGAGACTGAAGAGCTGGTCGGTCCAGTTATTTAAGGGATTAATTACTCTACCGAGTATCGGTTCGATTACTCGACTAAATGGATGACACAAAAACAGTTGGGGGGGGGGGGGGAAGTAAAACTTCTGTTTCAATGTGCGCCAGTGGATGTACGTTGAACTTCTTTCGCACCGCATGTAGCCAACCGAGCTTATCGGAGGTTTCGGAGGAAGGACAACAAACTAAACACAAAAATCAGTTCTAAATAAATGAGTTTTCAATTTAGGTTTAAACGTACATAGCTCCAGCGGTTTCCTAATATCATTCCAGACAGTCGCAGAAGCGCACCTGAAAGCATGTGATGCGTTGACCATCTTTGTTCGATGGTTAAGCCAAAAGCCACTGAGAGGATGGCCGTGAGAGTTCGCGTGATGGTTCATGCTCCTTGACAAGATCATTCGTGGCAAGCGTTTTGTGTGTAATGAGTGCGACCTTATGATGTATTAGCTCGGCAACCGAAAGCCAGCGCAGCTCGGCGAGCATTGAATGGACATGGTCGGATCTTGCAGTACCTGTCACGACATGTGCCAAAGAATTTTCTACACGCTTCAGCTTGGTCATGTAAAGGATAGGAGGTAATGGGGTGCTTGGTGATGTCATTGGCATAATCAGCTGTGTCATGCTGAACCTCGCTTTGTTGGGGGTTTCCCACCTTTGGGAGACAGGATGTTGAGGGCGACCAACATTTTCAAGGGACCAGGATAATCGACCACAAAAAGTCATTGGTTCTAATTTATAATAAACGGATCGACCTAATTGACCAATTGTCCCGGCCCTACTGAAACCAAACATTACTCTTTTTTGCAGTGAGACATTTCCTGATGTAGCAATTGATGAACGGATGACATCAAACACAAAATATACAATTTACTTTTATATATTCTAACTCGAAATTTGTTCAATGAGCTTTCTATTTATCCCATCAAGATGGCGTGCGCGGTGGCCACCCCGGTGCTGGAGCCTAGCGGGGACTTCCCGGCGTGGCTGGAGGCGCAGGGCGTGAACGCGGAGGTGGCCCGGGCCATGGACTCGGAGCTGGGCATCCGGGACTACGGGGTTCTGCGCGCCTGCGTCGGGGATGGCCTCGTGCGGGCCGAGCTGCTGGCCACGGCGCGCGACCGCCTGCCCTTCGGCTTCTACGCCGTGCTGCGGCAGGTGGTGAAGGCCCTGCGGGGTGCCGAGCCCCACGATGCTGGGATTCCGCGCTGGGACGACGCAGCTTCCTTTCCCGGCGACGTGACCCTGGGAGGCCTGGTGGAGGTGCTGCTCGCGCTGTTCAGCGGCTTGAGCCGGGAGCTGCTGTTGTCCGTGCAGAGGCTGGATGGTTCTAGAGCGTGCGCTGGGGACTCCACTTTAGCCACTCTTGAAAACAACGTGATACTTGACATCGATGATAATGCAGTGAACGGTAAAGTTTGATTCTTTTCGCTGAGCTTGTTTCAAAGCGTCCGATATTTTTTAAGCAGATTGACAAGTACCGTTTTACTATTGTGGATTCAACAAGAAATCCACAAGGTCTTTATCAACACTGAATGTTACAATATTTAGCTTTCATAGCAGTGTGATATTTAGAGTGTAAACCTGATGTGGTGCTTGTTCGTTTAAGCAGAAAAAGTTGGGAAGGACTTTGGAAGCAGTGGAGACGACAGCCCCAAGGAAACATTGCATGCAATAAAGACAGAGGCCCTGGAAGGTACATGAGGATTATCGAGCACATTTCAACACTTAACCTTATCAACCAAACTATAACAGTGATATCAGATCCTTCGCTTACTATGTGTGATGAATAAATGAATGTGTTTAAGAGTATTTGGCTGCTATGAATTTCAACATCACGATAAGCACACTTTGTTGCGCTATCGTTTGTGGCCTGGTCGCTTCTGGAAAGGAGCTACATAATTGAGTGGGCCTTAGCTGGTAAAATAGTTTAATCGTTTTTTTAAAATAGTTTGTATCCATGATGCGCAATGGCTGGGAGATCCACAAATTCGTAGATAAATTGTATGACACTGATAAAGATAAACTAGGCCAGGGGTCGGCCACCAAAAAACAAGAAGAGCCATTTTTTTCGAATTCAATAAAAAACTGAATATTTCAATAGTCGCAGTGCATGTTAATGTGAGACGGTGGTCCTTAATAAATAATGTCACGAAGCAATCCTTAAAGAGCCGCAGGTTGCAGACCCCTGAACTAGACGATTAGAAATATCATGCCTGTATCGTAACAACTGAAAAATCGATGCCTGCTGGATCACTAATCTTTTTCTTTTATTTTTTCACATAGATATTAACGACGTGGACAGGCATTCAGACTTCATCGTGAAAGATGTGGTCTCACTCAAAGGCATGGCATTGGACCGTGCGAACGCTTCCAAAGTTGGCACATCTTCACATAAGCAGCAGCACATGGGAGGTAAAATGCAACGCAACTTCGAAACTGAAGAGAGATCTCTGCGTGTTGCGTACCCACCAATGCCAGCAAAGACGCTGCACATTCCCGAGGAGCAGGCGATAATGATCGGGAACGAAGGTCTGTCGAACAAGGAACACGATTACATTCTTGATGACCACGATCTTGAAGAACAGCAGCTTTGTAGAAAAGGGTCTCTAATTTCGAGCTCCCCAAAAGTGAACAAACCCGTAGTGGAGAAGCCCTACCAGTGCCCCGTGTGCAAAAGGAGCTTTGCGAAGCTTTCCTACTTAAAGTGCCACCAGCGTATACACACGGGAGAGAAGCCCTTCCGCTGCAAGATGTGCAGCCAGTCGTTCGTGCAAGCCTCCAACTTAAAGACTCACGTTCGCACACACACAGGGGAGAGGCCGTACCAGTGCAAGATATGTTATCGGAGATTCTCGCGCAGTCATCATTTAAAAACTCACCAGTACACTCACATGGGATGAAAAGCCACATAATGAAGTCAAGTGCTTAATTTCGGCCAAAAAAAATCGGGATCGCCGTTTTCCAGGAATAATTTTGGCTCGCCCCATATTACATCTCACCTTTTTTTTTTCATGATACTGCGGTGGTGTGTGCGGTGGTGTGCAAAAATGTGCTTGAATAGTGTTTTAGGTTAACCAGATGTGCTTACAGATATAACGTAAATGTAACTTCCTTATTTGATTATAGGGTCCGATAATATGAGATTGTTATTGAGAGGCATATCTTGTTCTCTAGTGGTAGTGCCTTACACTGATGATCACTACTGCAAGCCAACCTAGCAGCGTTCTGGAAAATATCGATCGAGATGTTAAGTCCTGCATGTCGTGTTAGTTTTTATCAAGTGCAAAGCCATTTCAATAAGGAAAAAGACTTAGTTATTTTGTAATGATTATTTTGTGTTAATATTAACCACTAGCCTTTTGCCCATCCAAGGACGGGTGTATTTCTGTAAATCTGAAACTTGGAACCGAAAAGCAGACTGCGACGTGACGTGATATTCATTGCATCAATGCGTGTGCAATGTGTAAGGCCACGGTGACACAGACTTATTTCATTTTAAAAGTTATAATCCCTTTTTCATCATGTCCTTTTTACTTCTATGTCTCAATAGCGTTACGGAGATCGTGTGACGTGAGGGTTCTGCCTTTGTAGTGAGGGTTGGAAGTTGACACTGAGGAGGGGGGAGGAGGTGCCTCGCCCCCCCATGTGGGGTGATGTCATCCGCTAATTATTAATAGGGGGGGGGGGTGTCCATTTGAAGGATGTCAACTGTTCATGATTGTTAATGAGGGGGGCTGTTCAATGTGGAGTGAGTTCACCTGCTCATGATTATTAATGAGGGGGGGGGTGCTCCATGTGGAGTGACGTCACCCGCTCATGATTATTAATGAGGGGGGCTGGCCGACGTGGAGTGACGTCATGCGCGGGACACACATACATTCTTGGCTCATCAGAGTAGTAAATGTCTGGGTTGCCCTAAGAATATCGGAGTGAATGGGGCATGACCCTGGTCATCATGTGCAATATATTTCAGATGTAATACATGCGAATAGCATTGCCCTTGTACAGCTGCACATGAGGAGGGTGGTAACTGATTCTTAATGCATTGGCCTTTGAGGGTGGAAAGACACGTGACATTCATTGAAGAATGAAGCTGCATGGGCAACAGCACTTGCATGTTATTCTTAATAAACCTTTCAAAATGAACATTGGCCAGAATTGAAACATCATCTGCCCTAAAATTTTGATTTAAAGCTTTCGTGACTGCAGAGATTAATATTCTTGGTTCTTTCGGTAAAGTCACGTAGAAGAAGGGAAACAATTAAATAATAAGAAATATATATAAAAATAAAATTTAAAAATTTTCTTGCTGTGGTTTTCATACCTGATGATTGCTTGTTTTGCAGTCGAAATGTCGTGAGGATTTTATTTTTTATATATATTTTTATTATTTTATTGTTTATCTTCTACGTGACTTTACCAAAAGAACCAAGAATATCATCTGCCCTGCCACTCTTCTCCACAATCATAAACATGATTTAATCAATCATCATTAGACGTCATTTGCCAGTACCAAAATATAATAATAGGGTTTTTCCTCTTTTTTCTGGCAACAAAACTGAAACCTTTGTACAAGGATTCATGTCTGCATTAACCGCAATACCTGCAGTCAAAATGCAAACAAAAAAGCATACTATGATAATATATGCATTCTCCTTGAAACTGATTGGTCCACACAGATGGCGTCATCTGGTCGAGCACCAATTGGGTCGAGGCTCAAAAGAAAGCCGTCCCTTGGTGTGGACCAATCAGTTTCAAGGACAATGCATATATTATCACATTATGTTATTTTTGTTTGCATTTTGACTGCAGGTATTGTGGTTAATGCAGACATGAATCCTTGTTAAAAGGTTTCAGTTTTGTTGCCAGAAAAAAGGGGGAAAACCCTATTATTATGTGATTGAATCCATTTCAATCATTTGTAAAGGTCCTCACGATCCAAGCAGTGACATCTATGTGGCTACTTTGTCTTATACTCCTTCAGAGGAACAAAACAACCAACATCTTGTTACTTCAATGTGCAGTTGTGCTCGGGCATCGCCGTTTTTGGTCACTTGATACTTCCCGCTGTCATATTCTCTGAATTATAAGACATATTTTCCCTGTATCTTAAAGCAAAGCTTTGGGGCGTGTTTAATAATCCAGTAGGTTTGTGTATGATGAATCACGATTGTATACGTATGTAGTGGAATAGCGCTGGCTGCTGTCTACAAAGTGTAACTACAAGATACGGCAGTACACAGGTCGAGAGACGACAGTTTATACGGGGGATAAAACATCTAGGCAAAGTTCATGGATGGGGCCATCTGGAAGCCCCGAGAACCTGCTGGTAGGTTCCAGAAGGGGGGCGTGGTGAGGGCGGAGCATGGCCACACCGGGAGGATAAGAGGAGGCCCTGAGCGAGAGCTCGGGGCTGTTGCTGCAAGTGGACCCCCTGGCCGAGCTGCTGTTCGTCACCACCATCGCCGCCGTCTTCACCATCACTGGGTGCCACGTGCTAGGCAGCCTGCCAACTGTTTAGTTAGATAGTGCCGCCGACAATAGACAGTTGTGTGTACAGATTTAGATAATAGTGTGCACCCCCGTAGAGGGTGTATAGTCCCCATTCGTGAGTAAAGAATAAAGAGGTGTCTCCAAGTATTTTACTGTCTCCGATCTGCGTCACTGCACGTATATTAACACATGGCTGCATCTTTCCGCAGAACCTTATAATCCATGCCCCATTCATTCCAGCTTTTTAAAAAATATAAATCACCCACATTGTACTGACTTAGGTTACAGAGTTATTAAAAGTTTATTTACAATACAGTAAAACATTGGATTACGAGCATAATTTGTTCCGGAAACGTGTTTGTCATCGAAAGCACTCGTATATCAGTTGTGATCACGTGACGCTCAGCAGACAAAGCGTATAGGTACTACTCATATTGCAAGACCTCGCTCGTTTATCAAATTAATATTTATTTTAAAACAATTCTCGTCTTGCAAAACACTCGCAGACCAAGTTACTCGCAATCCAAGGTTTTACTGTACTTTATTTCAATTCCTTTGTGCTCATGAATGACTATGGTATGTAAAAATTGCAAAGACATTTTATATGTGAATAAAATAGTAATGTCTAAAATGAGTTTGACTGGACTTTTGAACGAGTCGCAATGGCCTGACTTGTGAAATTATAAAAATGATGTTGATCAGATCACCAGGAATTCGCTCAATCTTGTCCGATCTCAGATGCTAAGAAGGTTTGAGCCTGGGATAGTGCTTGGATGTGGGTGACCACGGTGCATAAAATAGGTGTGTATTTGGGTGGAAGGGCTATTATTAGAGGTTTTTTTTTAGTTAGATCACGTACATATATAAATGTGTCGTTAAAACCCGCCACCACCCGACACAGCCAACTAGTAAGGGTTGTCACATACACAGAACGTGGCCAGTTCGTCACTAGTGCATCACAACGGTGTGTTGGAGAGCCAAGCCACAATATATACAATCTGAGTACGACGTTTCGCCAGTAATTACAACTAGCTTCATCAGGTGACAGCCAGATTTGTGGAGAAGTCTAACTGTTTAGTGTCAATTTGGTTCTTTCAGTAAAGTCACGTAGTTATAATTTTTTTTAAAAAATACAAGTAAAAACCAAAAAAACACTAATGTAGACTGTAGCCTGGTTCTCACTCAGTTTAATAATCACTGCTACAGTCTACATTACAGACAGCCAGTACACTCACCAAACTTAATAACCAGATTACAGTCTACATTATAGACTGTCAGTACACTCACTCCGATTAAGAACCAGGCTACAGTCTACATTCGTGTTTATTTTTATTTTTTATTCACTTCAATGTTTGTTATTGCTTTTCTATCGACGTGACTTTACCGAAAGAACCAAAGAATATGAATTCCTGCAATCACGAAAGTTTTGAGTTCAAAATGTTTTGTTCCTCATATAGAGGCGTAGATGTGGTGACCACGCTTCTGCGCTCTTGCGCCACGTGGGGGGGGGGGGATTACCGAGGCATTGTACATTATGCATGTGCATTATGCGAGCCCTTTGAACTTGTCCTTCCTGACGAATGTGTATTTAAATAGCCGCACCAAAGGTAATCCCTATTGAAGTACGCTTCCCTTTATAGGCATGCAATTAAATAATGTATTATTTGATGATTCACTTCCACGCAGCACTAAGGCGGTAGCTATCCGAACGGTTAAAGTTATTTTTACTTCTTTCAATTTCGATATATTCTCTAATTAGTCTTGGCCAGTAGTAGCTAGTTTTGCACACTTCAACATTATCAAAACCAATTGAGTGTCCTTGTTAGCACGCGTGTTCTGCAACTGCTGACATTAAGTCACTTAAAGCTAATAAAATACTACATAAAGCTAGCGAATTGTTGCTAAAAGAGATAATACAGCACAATAGAAGTGTACTAAGTAAGTCACACTTCTAAATCACTTATGTCCTTACATGCAGAAATAAGTAACAGTGTCTCTACAGATCACTGGAATATAATCGACACAGTTACACAGCAATCAGCCGATAATATATTTAACAAAACTAACACTACCCAAATTAAACAGTTAGACTTCTCCACAAATCTGGCTGTCGCCTGATGAAGCTAGTTGTAATTACTGGCGAAACGTCGTACTCAGATTGTAAATGTTGTGGCTTGGCTCTCCTACACACCGGTGTGCTGTACCATTGACGAACTAGCACGTTCTGTTTACGTGACAATCCTTACTAGTTGGCTGTGTCGGGTGGTGGCGGGTTTTAACGAGACATTTATATATTTACGTGTTCTAACCCCAAAAAAACTCGATTATGGATGATATTGGTCGCGAAAGCCTACGTGTTAAAAAGGGCTATATTGTCAGCAGAGCGGTACTGCAACAACAACGAAAATTCAAATTCATAACACCTGTTATGCATCGTGGTCACCCATTCAAGTACTATCCAGGTTCAATCCTGAATTATGGAAAGCTCTGTTACATTCTGGATGTAACAGATTTTTTATTTTTGTTGTTTTATACTTTTACGTGACTTTACCGAATAGAACCAAAGAGTATGATTTATTGTTATTATGCTTGTTTGCCGAGGAAAGCCTCACCAACTCTCATGACTTTTTCAAGAGGGCCCTGCCAAGGCTGCCGAGTTTTTGCAGTTGGAATGGTGATTTGCCACGCATAATTGTATTCCAATTGAGTCAATTTGCGGGTATTTTCTTTTACAAATTTGGCAAGGACTATGAGGCCGCCATATGGTAGCCTACTTTTGCGATTTACCTGTGAAGCAGGCGACGGGCCGGACCATGTTATCCAATAGGCCACATAAGGCACTGTTGCCATAGGGCCTACGAAAAAAAAAGTTGACCATGTAATTTTCTAATGTTTGTATGTATGATAAAAAAAAAATTCAACCACGATACCATCTTGAATGAATATATTTATATGGCTGATCGTTGGAATTTCTTTGCAGTGGTAACAAGTCGTTGACTCGTTGCAAGCGACGCGTATTACACCTAAAATAACGTCAAACAAATATTGAAGCTTAAACGACATGCGCTCGTCCTGTCAGAACATTTAATTTGTTATCGACGAAAATGAACGGCATCCTTTTAAAGCTGCGTCATCCGATATGATAATTATAGTAAACAAAAAATAGTTGAAGACATTTTCGCGAAGAATATTTTTTGGCTTGTCTTGTTTGTTTTCTCTTCTCTTCGGTAATTTCAAATTAAATCTGCGTATCCACTGCAGACAGCGTTCTTCCACTGAAGTAAGGCACAGACTAAATAATGAACGTGTCAGCGGTAACGACATCTGTCCAGCGGCTGGACGAAGTAACGCATGAAACAAGCGGCGGTAGTAACATGGCGGGCAGTAGCAGTGCCAACTGTACAAAGGTATCATCGAAGGACCTACGAAAAAGAAGTGCATAGGGCCTACATGAACCTTAATCCGGCCCTGGCGGCGGGTATTTTAGTTTTTTTTTACGGTTAATGCAGCCGCAGTATAATAACTAGGCCGGCCGCTCGATTCCGAACCGTGCGTCTTTGCATCAAGAGGCGAACGCGCTGCCACCAGTCACCGCAAAAAGTGTACGTCTTGGTTCATAAAACGTGCGTTGAAGTAGAATTAAATTGCAGGAAGGGAAACGCATTTTGGATCGGAAATTCACGAAAATTTTCTCCGCCACGAGTTGTATAAACATGTTAACCAAGTGGGGAGAGAACCTGGTTTACAGCGGTGATCTTTTGGTCATCCATGATAGAGAAATTGTAAATGCTGTGGTGGGTTTACTCTCCAACACACAACCGGTGTGCTGAACCAGGAACGAATTGGCCACGTTCAGTTCACGCGAAAAAACCTTCACTAATCGGCTGTGTCGGGCGGTGGCGCGTTTAACGGCACATTTATATTTACACGATCTAACCCCCCAAAAAAACCTCTTACGGATAACATTGTTCGCTAAAGCGTACGTGTTAAACTGTTTATGCGTTACTCTTTGGTTCTTTCCGTGAAGTCAAGTAGAAATAAAATACATTAAATAATAGAGTACGACTTTCGATTGCAACACAAGCAATCGTCATCAGGTAGAAAATAAACCTAGTAAACTTAGAAATACAACGCAATACAACACGGAGAGTCGGCTAACACAACAGTCAACACCCTACCTGGTTGATTAACGTTCTTCCAAAGATCGCTAAATTTGAGAGAGAGACAAAACGCAGACACGCGGACACACAGACAGACACACAAGCAGTAATATTATTTTAGTGTTGTGTTAATGTGACTGTAAAGGTAGCCCTAGGGGCCGTCCATAAATGACGTCACGCGATTTTTGACGATTTTTGACCCCCTCCCTTCGTCACACGGCGTCACAAAAAGTCAGACCCCCCCTCAAATATGACGTCACAAAGCTCTGCCCCCCCCCCCCCAAAAAATATAAAACATGCTTCAAATCGCTTTAAACTATCGTCATTGTAGTGTGTATTAAATGTAGCGCTGCACTCTGATGTTGTAGGAGAAAACATTTTATATATAAAAAAATAAATATATTTAATTAAGTAGAACGTGTTGTCTATATTTATTTAAAGTTGCGCATTTTGATGTGACGTCACATTTCTCAAACTTCCCCCCCCCCCATCGTCACACATCGTCACAAATGTCTGACGCCGACACCCCTTCCCTCTTGCGCTCCTGCGGTGCGTGACGTCATTTATGGACGGCCCCTTTATAAAAAAACACATGGGTCGCGAAAGCGTTCAAAACCGATCGCAAAATCGCCGCCGTCCCTTGACGGGGCGAATCGGCCGCTTGTGAACGGAGAGGCGAAGCGCGCTGCTTGCAACTTCACCGATCGTCAACTTAGCGTCTCTCGTCTGACGTTACGCGTTTATTTTTATTTTTGTTGTTGTTGTTTCTCTAAATGTGTCTGTTTGCGACGTTTAATCGCGCTTAAAGAACCGACATATTATCGCCCTACCTACGTAAAGGCAAGTTCGGAGGGGGACATTCTCGGCCGATGTAATAATAAATAACGGGGTTCGTTGTCAATCCACTTGCTGAATGAAGGCCGTGGTCGGTCGTTTGACCATTCCCATACCTATGCTATGCACTACTACACTATACACTACATTACTATACACTACTATACACTACACACTACTATACACTACATTACTATACACTACACTACTATACACTACTACTAGACACTACTATACACTACATTACTATACACTACACTACTATACACTACACTATACACTACTATACACCACTACTATACACTACATTACTATACACTACACTATACACTACACTATTATACACTGCACTACTATACACTACATTACTATACACCACTACTATACACTACACTACTATACACTACACTATACACTACACTACTATACACTACACTATACTACTATACACCACTATACGACTATACACTACACTACTATATACTAGACTATACACTATGATACACTACTATACACTAATATACGACTATACACTACACTATACACTACATTACTATACACTACTATACACCACTACACGACTATACACTACACTATACACTACTATACACAACATTACTATACACTACTATACAGCACTACACGACTATACACTACACTACTATACACTAGACTATACACTACTATACACTATACACTACTATACACTACACTACTATACACTAGACTATACACTACGATACACTACACTATACACTACATTACTATACACTACTATACACTACACTATGCACTACTATACACTACACTATCTTGATTTGAAGCTTTCGCGACTGCAGGAATCCATACTCTTTGGTTCTTTCGGTAAAGTCATGTAGGTATATAAAAAAAAAATGTTTAATTACATTGTAATAAAATAAAATAAATATAAAAAAATTCCTGAATGAAATAAATAAAGCATTTTTTTATTATTTAAATAAAATAAAACAAAAATTATACTGTATTAAAATAGATTCTTTTTTGTTTCATTGATATTGTATTTCTACCTACGTGACTTTACCGAAAGAACCACAGAGTATGGATTCCTGCACTCACGAAAGCTTCAAATCAAGATCGATATAAGCTACTTCAATGAGCTGTGTGTGGCCAGGTCACCTCTGAAGAGGAGCTCATTGCTCAGTGGGCTGTACCTGGTGAATAACATAATTTCGTTAATATTATCATTGCTAATTTTACTTTAAATTCCTAGCTAAATATTTACGAAGTAACAATAAAGTGAGAAAGAAAAAAACTTAGCAATCAAATGAAGTGTTTTGTAGCCGTGTTGTGGTCACACGTTATTTTCTGACAGCACGTGCGTGATAAGCATTATTGATCTTATAGAAGTTGTAACGATATTAATGACTTAATGAAGCTGTAATATTTACGAAAACAATGAGCAGAGTAAAATTGTGTAAATTTAATGGCGGTGAATCTTGCACAAAATAATGTCATCAAACAATTCACTGAATTTCACTGTAGCACTGTATTAATGGCAGTGAATCTTGCACACAACGATGTCATAAAACACCTCACCTCATGTGACTAGCACTGTATATAACTGACCTTCAATTCGTTCGGAATCACTGCTCTGATCGGGTTGTAATCAATTTGAATTCGATACAATGTCTAGAAAATCACGGAGAAATGTAAATATTTTATAATCATTTCGAAGCAAGGCTTACCATTTTGTTTCCAGTGCCTAAGAAATATACACCAAATACACTTTGTTGCTGCGTATAATTATTTTTTTTATTAACTTTCAATAAAGAAACGTCAAATTTAAAGAAAATTTGTGTACAAATTGGTATTTCCGCTCGACCTGCGGGAGTGTAAAAATCCACCTGCTCATGATTATTAATGAGGGGGGGGCTCTTTTGCAGTGACGTCACGTACGGATGTAGCACTGTGTTGCGTAGATTTATTTTGACGTCACTTTCTGTAAAGAAACATCATATTTGAAGCGACTTTGCGAAAAAAAATCTTTCCACTGGACCTTCTTCCGCGTGAGTCTAAAAATCCACCCGCTCATGATTATATTATTTTTAATGACGGGACAGGGGGGGGGCATATGGAGTGACGTCACGCACGTGACACATTTCTGGGCTGTTATAGTAGTAATACCATACCTGTCAACCCATACGGTTTACCCGTATTTTTGTACAGGGAAATTTAGTTTTCAGTAAATACGGCGTACAGCCGTTTCAATACGGGGAAAAAAATTTTTGTCGATTTTTTGTGTTTCTAATTGGGCACTTCTTCCAGAAGGCATTTTTTATTCGTTCAGAATACAACCAAAAGATGGTTCTCCATCGCGACACATGACCACCCATAGGACAAGACCACCGCCGGCCATTCAGAGTAATCTTTCAGAAGGCATATCTCATCTTTCGGAAGGTGGCCTTCAAAATTATGACGAACACTTTTTATTTCAAAATAATTCCAAGGTTTGAAGTGCTTCTCACATTTTGGAGCATCTTAGAATCAAGAGAATTTGGGAATTGTACAGTTTTTTTGTTTTATTTGGTTGAAATTACCCATCACCCAGAAATGTCATCCGTCCCGCACGTGGCGTCACTCCGCATGAGGCCCACCCCCCTCATTAATATTCATGAGTGGGTGGATTTTTACACTAACGCAGAGAAAGGTCGAGCTGAATTAAATCATTACGCAAAGTCGCTTCAAATATGACGTTTATTTACAGAAAGTGACGGTAAAAAATAAATCTACGCAGCACAGTGCTACATCCGTGCGTGACGTCACTGCAAAAGAGGCCCCCCACCCTCATTAATACACTGCACATGGTCGTACCCCTCCCCTCATTAATAATCATGAGAGGGTGACGTCACTCCACATGCCGCACCCCTCCCCAATAACCATTAGCGGGTGATGTCACTCCACATGGGGCAACCCCCCCCCCCCATTAACAATCATGAGCCCTCTTTTTTCTTCCTGATGACGAACGCTTGTGTTGCGATCGAAACGTGGTAGTTTTTTTATTTTTTGTTATTTTATTTGAACCTATCTACGTGACTTTAACAAAAGACCCAATGAATAATCATGAGCTGAACAATTTTTCTATTGAATATTTAAGATTTACTGCAAAATACACCCATCCTTGGACGGGCAAAAAAGCTTGTACATTTGATAATTCTACGTTAAAAATTAAGATTAGCATTTGTTAATGCTTGAAGGACACTGCATCTTGAGGCTTTGATGTGAATCTTATAACTTTTAACCTTTTTGACCCTACACGCTCTCGCCCTCTGCACATCCCATCAGGATGGCGTGTGCAGTGGCCACCTCGGTGCTGGAGCCGAGCGGGGACTTCCCGGCGTGGCTGGAGGCGCAGGGCGTGAACGCGGAGGTGGCCCGGGCCATGGACTCGGAGCTGGGCATCCGGGACTACGGGGTCCTGCGCGCCTGCGTCGGGGACGGCCTCGTGCGGGCCGAGCTGCTGGCCGCGGCGCGCGACCGCCTGCCCTTCGGCTTCTACGCCGTGCTGCGGCAGGTGGTGAACGCCCTGCGGGGCGCCGAGCCCCACGACGCTGGGACTCCGCGCTGGGACGACGCCGCTTCCTCCCCTGGCGACGTGACGCTTGGAGGCCTGGTGGAGGTGCTGCTCGCGCTGTTCAGCGGCTTGAGCCGGGAGCTGCTGCTGTCCGTGCGGAGGTTGGGAGCCATGGACAACCAAGGAACATGTACTGGGGTTTCTACTTCAGCCACAAGAGTGGTCACACCTGAGGAGAACACGATGCATGAAATGGATGAATACACAATGAATGGTAAAGGTACAGTCTTTCCAGGAGCTGATGAAGCAGTGAATGCTGTTGAGATTCAATCAGACTTGCTGCCCAGATCCAATTCTTGGATTCTAATGTAGGCAGCCAGCTCACGGTGGCGTAATGTTATCTCCCTTGCCTGATACGCAGGAGATCGTGGGTTCGATCCCAACATTGACGCCTGTATATTAGGAGTTTGTAAGTTCTCCCTGTGGTCGCATGGATTTTCCTCCGGGTCCTCTATTTTTTCCATACACATTTAGAAACATGCATTTAAAATATTTGTTGACTATAAATTCCCACATATGATTATAGCCACTTCAATGAGCTGTCATGTGTGGCCAGGTCACCTCTGAAAAAATAGCTCAGAGGGCTTTATCTGGTGAAATTAAAAATAGTTTAGATTCAACTGGGTTCTCAGTGCTGGAAGTTTATGGTGTACGCCTGGTAACTAACGACTGCAGAAAAAAAACAAATTTGGACATTCCTGTTTTGAGTACTGTATTACATTTATCTTTTTGACTGCCATGCAATGAACTTTACTCTCAGTGGCAAAGTGGCTGGGAAAGTTCTGCCCCCTACCTCACTGGAAGGCCTCTCAAGAGGTGTCTCTGTAGTATCCGGTTCCGCCGGCTCTTCTCCTACACGAAGGGTTGCACTGCTCTGCAAGAGACCGGAATTGATTCTTCATCTCATGATGTGACAATGATGAGTCAGGATAACATTTGGGAATACGATGAAACAATGTGAGATATTTTTAGCGTGTAGGTTTTTAGCGAGCAAAAGATGAATGTTTTTTAGTAAGATTGCATAAGTAAAATGTTTGTCGTCCATCATCCTCCCCCCTGAGACAGCCAATTAATAAAGTTGTCACTTGAACAAATGCGCCAGTTAATTACTGCTTCAGCACGCCAGTATGTTGGAGAGCTATCCATATTTGATTTACGAGATGTGACCCAAAATTTACTCAATTTCATGATTTTGGGAAGTGCAGAGATCTAATGACCTTGTGCTTCTGTGGCTTAAGTCTCCTCAGATGATCTTGGAGAGACCCCAGACTCGGACAGAGAAGACGCCGACCCCAGCCAGACATTACATGTGATCAAAGCAGAGGCGTGTGGAGGTACTTATAATTACAACAGTAAGTCTCCTTTATTTATCCAGGAAAGCCTCGCTGAGGATTAGCGAATGCGCTTGCATTCGTGTGTGGAAGTAAATGGAAATATCCGTAAAAAGTCCATGCATAAGAGGGGAAAGCATTAAAAGTTATGCACAGATCGGTTGATGATGGGCACAGCTACGCTTTGAAAGTTGGGGGTGTCCTATCTAGTGAATGTTTCCCAGTGGTTACTGGATAGATGACTGACAGCATCCGTGAAGTTCACCCCCCTGCCCCCCCACTTAGTCACATATAAACAGGAGCTCCACTGTGCTGTACTAATGTTAAGTCTACAGAACTACCTGCTGCTGACTCGGTACTTAGCCGACTGTTCCTGCGGTTACCATTTATATAAAGGTTCCGTGATCGGCATAATTTCAATTTATGTCAGCTTATTTACAGGAGAAAAATGCGGGCTTAAAAAAAAAAACAGGATTCGTGTCCAAAATATTGAGGGTGTCCTATTCGGCCCTTGGGTAAAGCTTCCTTACCCCTTGTTTGAGGTGAATGTGTATCGTAACAGTGTGGCCAGGGTAAGAGAGGACTGGGCTTGGGAATGTTTTCAGTGGCATGCGTCATTTTGCTGACGTCTCTTCCTCAATTCCCAGCAAGCAATTGCAGGTATGCATCTTTTAGATTTTTTTTACTGATGTCTTGTTTGAATGTCTGCCCTCCCCCTCCCCTCTTGTTGCAAATGAGAAAGAAGGGAAGAACAGGGCCCAAGAAGCAGGCGGGTCGAACTGCAGTCAAGTTGAGTGCACACTGAAAAGTGAGGCCTGTGGAGGTGAGACTTAATTATTCTTCTTTCTTTCATATGGCTGATGTAGACGCAGAGCCAGGCAACCTTGCAGGAGCAGCGTAATATCTTCTTCGTGTTTGTGGATCGGGCACTGTGTCGTTAATATGTTTTACGGTCTGTTCTGTATGACCACAGTCGCACACTGGAGAGTTTTTAATTTTCCATTTGTGCATCAGGTATCCGTATCTGCCATGGTTTGTGCGGATGCGATTTAGGGTGGACCATGAGTTTCTTGGAAGATCAAAGCCAGGGATCTTCTTTGTTGGATCTTTCACAAAAGGTGTTTGCGAGTTCTTTAGAATTCATTCAGCTGAACGGAGACTTAATTTAAAGGAAGTAACCTGATGGACAGCTCTTTGCCATTCCACTGCTGGCTGAAGGCCTCCCCACACTGTGTTGGTCTTGGGGGTGATTTGATAATGCTTACCTACACTGATCACAAGGCCTTGGACTGGGGGGGATTGTGGGGTGGTGGGAGGAGGGTTGGTGACCCATGACCGGTTCAGATATCACACTGCCATTGATGTTTGTAACCCTGGCCGGAAACCACACTCAGGTTGCTGTGTTCAGAGTACAATACACAAACACTGTGTCACCGCTCTTCCCCCAATTTAAATACACAAAACCAATACAACAGAAATCCCTTAGCTTGTAGCTGCACAACTGCATTGCATGTCCTGAGCTCTCCAACATGAGACTGAAACATCGTTAGAGAGTGACTTTAATGAGACATATCTTGATATCTCTGCGGTGTTTCCAGCCCTCGTTAATACAACGCCAGTGCGTCGGCATCTCTAGGGCACAGCTGAAAGTCACTTTCAAATATTTTATGATTGAAGCTTTCAATCTCATATTGGACATTCCAGAATATACATAGGTTTGCATCAACAAGATCAGAGAGCTCTTTGTTTTTCTTGGGTTGTCTCTTTTAATGAGGTGGTTGCAAGCGCGATGTGAAATGTAATAACGGAGTTGCTGTTAGTGGCTCCCGATGACTATTATCCTGCTATTGACATCACATCCGTGCTCCCCTCCATCAACACGCACTATCGTGGTGAACTACAGTAAAACCTTGGATTGCGAGTAACTTGGTCTGCGAGTGTTTTGCAAGACGAGCAAACATTTAAAATAAATATTAATTTGATAAACGAGCGAGGTCTTGCAATACGAGTAGTACGTACACGCTTTGTCTGCCGAGCGTCACGTGATCACAAATGATGTACGAGTGCTTTGATATACGAGTGCTTTGGATTACAAAAACGTTTCCGGAACGAATTATGCTCGCAATCCAAGGTTTACTGTATAGTCAAATAACCCCCATCACCGACACGGCATGTGGAGGCACTTATCCATCAGTGCTTTGTCAACGCACACTCGTGCATGTGTGTACATCCGCATTTATCCGCGGGTAACTTTGCGGGTCGCAGGAGTTTTCTGCAAATCAGAATCTATCTTTTTATTATTTATTTTCAGAATATTTATCCTGGAGAAATCTGATGAGCTATGAAACTTTTTATCACAGATGTCCAGTAGGGGTGGGTCGGAAAGTTACAACAACAAACATACCTAGCAACCCATACGGTTTACCCATATTCTTGTACAGGGAGTTTTTGAGTTTTCAGGCCCATATGGCATACAGCTGTTTCAATACGGGCAAAAACAAAAATGTGTCTATTGGTTCGTGTTTCTCCCTTGTTATGGGACTTTGTAGGATGAACATTGATATTTATAAGGGCACGGGATGACCATTAAGGTCTGAATTGGTCTTTAATACAGTAAGCACTAATAAGGGGTTGACAGGTATATAACAATACAAAAAATAATCGGAGTACAAACTCGATTCACGATTAATATTCCCGAACAGTACCTCCAACCACGTCACCACTGATAAGAGGTGTTTAACCGTAATAACCTTAACAATATAGTTGGTGTTTTTTTTCTTCGCATCAGATGAAGGTGGAGAGAAACTGGCTTCAGAAGTGGACGACCCTGATCTCAACCAGACATTAATCGCGATAAAAACGGAGGCCCATGGAGGTAACTTTTCAGTAATTGAAACAATAAACCACAATTACTTCAGAGGAGGCTGGGTAGCTTTAGAGGTTAGAACGCTGAGATGACAACAACTGAGATCCTGGGTTAAAATCCAGTTTTCAGTCATCGGTGAATAAAACTAGGTTCTCAAGTCGAGTGAGTTAAATGGCCTCGGTTGGTCACCACAGACTGAACTTTAACAAAAAAAAATAATTACATTTGATTTTGCAGCACTGACAAAGTTATCACTTCAATTGTCATGTGAGAATGAAACATATCAATGGCCTTTACAACCAAGAGCCAACTTGTAAGGAGAAACTTGAATGTGAATTATTTCTCTTTTTCATTGCATCCAGGAAAAAGCAACATCGCCCAAGATGTAAACGTTCTTCAAGAGGTGGGACTGGACCTCACGGACTCTGTCAAGGCCGGTGCACATCCCTGGACACGGCAACCACAGCAGCAGCAGCGGCAGACGGGCAGCGAAACGCACGGAAGTGACGCTGACGCTGAAGAGTTACCCCTCAGCGTCGTCTACACGCCCGCTCCGCTCGTCAACGGACAAACTCTCCAGCAGGAGGCGCCGGGCCTAAACGTGTCTCCGTTGAACGTTGAGCCGTGCCCTCCTCTCCATGACGTCGACCTCCTGGAGTTTCACGTTGGCCGGCAGTGGGCCGTGCAGTCTGGCTCGGGCGCTGGCGAGAGGCCATACCAGTGCATGGTGTGCAGGAAGAGCTTCTCCCAGAACTGCCACCTCAAGGACCACCAACGCACGCACACGGGCGAGAAGCCGTACCGCTGCAAGATGTGCGGCCAGTCGTTCACGCAGAAGTCGCACCTCAAGGCGCACCAGAGCACGCATACGGGCGAGAAGCCATACCAGTGTAAGCTGTGCCACCAGTCTTTCTCGCGCAACGGCAACCTCAAGGTGCACGTGCGCACACACACGGGCGAGAAGCCCTATCGCTGCGGCGTGTGTGGCCAGGAGTTCTCGTACCTCTACCGATTCAAGCACCACCAGCACAAGCACGCGGGCGAGCATCTGTACCGCTGTGTCGTGTGCCCGCAGACCTTCGCTGACTTCAACGCTCTGATGAGCCACCAGAACGCACACCTGGGGGAAAGGGTGCTCTGACCCGAGTGACGCGCTGTGCGGCTTTAGAGGATGGCGGCTTTCGTATTTTTGTAAGACAGTTCTGCCCGAAGTGGGGATGAGGTTCTGGGTTACCGTACGTGGTTTTCTCCACGTGCTGGGAGCTTCCTCGTGAAGGAAATGCGTTCTTCCTCCTCTAAACACGGCGAATTGAGTTGATGCCAAAGAGCTCCATTTTGGTCTCATCTGACCACAACAATTTCACCCAGTTGTCCTCTGAATCATTCAGATGTTCATTGGCAAACTTCAGACGGGCATGTATATGTGTTTTCTTGAGCAGGGGGACCTTGCGGGCGCTGCAGGATTTCAGTCCTTCACGGCGTAGTGTGTTACCAAATGTTTTCTTGGTGACTATGGTCCTAGCTGCCTTGAGATCATTGACAAGATCCTCCCGTGTAGTTCTGGGCTGATTCCTCACCGTTCTCATGATCATTGCAACTCCACGAGGTGAGATCTTGCATGGAGCCCCAGGACGAGGGAGATTGACAGTTCTTTTGTGTTTCTTCCATTTGCGAATAATCGCACCAACTGTTGTCACCTTCTCACCAAGCTGCTTGGCAATGGTCTTGTAGCCCATTCCAGCCTTGTAGCCCATTCCAGCCTTGTGTAGGTCTACAATCTTGTCCCTGACATCCTTGGAGAGCTCTTTGGTCTTGGCCATGGTGGAGAGTTTGGAATCTGATTGATTGATTGCTTCTGTGGACAGGTGTCTTTTATACAGGTAACAAGCTGAGATTAGGAGCACTCCCTTTAAGAGTGTGCTCCTAATCTCAGCTCGTTACCTGTATAAAAGACACCTGGGAGCCAGAAATCTTTCTGATTGAGAGGGGGCCAAATACTTATTTCCTTCATTAAAATGCAAATCAATTAATAACATTTTTTACATGCGTTTTTCTGGATTTTTTTTTGTTATTCTGTCTCTCACTGTTCAAATAAACCTACTATTAAAATTATAGACTGATCATTTCTTTGTCAGTGGGCAAACGTACAAAATCAGCAGGGGATGAAATACTTTTTTCCCTCACTATGTCGAACAGCACACGTGGCGCGAACTGACAACTGGACGACCACGAAAATCTACGCAGTAATATTACATGAAAAGGTTTTCTCTAGCAGAATGTTGGGAACAAATGAGATACAATCAATGGAAAAGAACATGTGAGATGGAGAATTCAAACTGAACGAGATTCAAAAATAGACTTTTATCGTTGAGTCAAATTGTAACTGAATTATGACAATTCCTTGTATCTGCGTTTGGGGTGGTGTGAGTTGCAACATGGATACTAACAAAGCAACGAGAAAATATTAAATATCTTGGCCTTTCAGTACAGGAGCGCGTGGATAATACTGGGGAATTTCGCACCACGATTGGGTAATTAACTTTGAAGTTTAGAACGAGAGGCAGGGAAGTAATTGGGGCTCAAATCATGAAGAGGAGGATGGAGGAGGAGGAGGGCACATTACTGAGACAGACATTGGAGTGGCACCCAGATGTCATGATGATGAGGCAGACTGGTCCTTGGAGGTTAACCATCCACCCATCCTAGATGTAGTTGTGGGATCTAGGGAGGAGGTTGGTGGATGACACACATTCACTGATGCATGCCTGGTGAAGGAGCATTGGAGCAGTCACATGCTCCTTGGGGCCAATGAGCGAGCTGTTCAGTAAGCTGTACCCATATTCTTGGTTCTTTCGGTAAAGTCACGTTGAAGGGAAACAATAAAATAATAAAAAATATATAAAACAATAAAATTCTCACGACGTTTTATATATACTGAAAGTACCAAAAATATGAATCACTGCAGTCACCAAAGCTTTAAATCAAAATTTAAGCTGTACCCCTAAACTACTGTGTGTAGTTTTTGTTTCGTTTGGAATAGAATGAAAGGATTGCGTTTTTAAAAAAAATAATCTTTTTTTAAAGATTGTAATTGAGAAACGTGTTTTATTATTATTCTGACATTTTCACTGTATAAGCAGATTTCTTTTTTTTAAGTTTTCCAACAGTTTCAAAGCGTATGTGCATTTGCTCTGTCCATCTTTCTACAACAGGGGGTGGCGAAAGGGGCCATTATAACTCGAGTAAAGATGCTCAAAGATGAACCCACTTGTAGACGGAGGTTATGCCGTTATTGTGGACTATGTAAAACTACCCAACCTCATCAAACAGGTCCCTGCAGGGTGGGCTGGTAGGAACATTGGAATTTTTTTTTACACCACACAACAGCACGAGATTTCACTTCGTTAAAGTATTGAAAGGGGACGGACAGACGGACGGACGGACACAATCTATTGCAGGCTGGTACACTCAGTTTACAACTTCGTTCCTACCAGTAAAAGTCATACCTGTCAACCCATACGCTTTTGGGGGCCGTCCATAAATGACGTCACGCACCTAGGTGGGGGGGGGGGGGGTCAGACATTTGTGACGATGTGTGACGACGGGGGGGGGGGTTGAGAAATGTGACGTCACATCAAAATGCGCAACTTTAAATAAATTTAGACAACACGTCGTTCTACTTAATTAGACTTTTTTATATAAATGTTTTCGCCTACATCAGTGCAGTGCCACATTAAATACTCACTACAATGGCAATAGTTTAAAGCGATTTGAAGCATGTTTTATATATATATTTTTGGGGGGGCAGAGCTTTGTGTCGTCATATTTGAGGGGGGGTCTGACTTTTTGTGACGCCGTGTGACGACGGGGGGGGGGGGGGTCAAAAATCGTCCAAAATCGCGTGACGTCATTTATGGACGGCCCCTTAGCCATATTCTTGTACATGGAAATTTTGAGTTTTCAGGTCCATACGGCGTACAGCCGTTTCAATACCGGCAATAAAATTTTTTGTATCTATTTGTGTTTCTCCCTTGTGATGGGATTTTGTAGGATGAACTTTGAGATTTATAAGGGGCACGGGGTGACCAACAAGGTCTTAATTGGTCTGTAATCAGGTAGGGCACTGATAAGGGGTTGACAGGTAGGCGAAACGCTACCCTACTGTACACTACTATACACTACAATCCACCTTATACCATACCTGTAAACCCATATGGTTTACCCCGTATTCTTGAACAGGGAAATTTATTTTTCAGGTCCATACGGCGTACAGCCGTTTCAATACCGGCAATAAAAACACATTTTGTCTATTTGTGTTGATACCTTGTGATGGGCCTTTGTAGGATGAACGACCGCTGATAAGGGCGTTGACAGGTATGAACAGGGTCATTAAAATCTTGGGAGGCCCAAAGCAGCGTAAATATGACATAAATATACCAAGTTTGCAGTCGATACCACATTGGGAAGTGGGTGAAAATTGAGTTACAAGATTTGAGGATACAACGACAACAACAACAACAGGCAGCGGTGAGTTAAATAAAAGCAGCGTAGCACGAGAACGACGCACCGACGTTTGCCAATATCCAAACGCGTTTGCCCTGAAATCGAACATTCACCACCCCCCCACCAACCCATCCACTTCCAGCACTACCGATGATAGGGAGAGAGAGAGAGAGAAAAAAAGCACGTGGCCGAAGCAAATTACCGCGGTCCCTAAGCCGGTTATGAATCTGCACGCGGCGGTGAAACAGCCAGCGCCGGCTTCCCCGCCAGCGGCGTCCCCGCAACAGAATCGGAACCTTTCGTCCCGGCCAGGAGGAAAGCCGAGGCGCTGTGAAGCTCTTTAGTGCTTTATTTGTATCCGTCACCTCCACCGTGAGCTGTAAAGCTTCTTCGTGTACAACTGGAGGAATCCGATGCGCTGTAAAGTCTCTCTTTTTTTTCTTTTCACATGTCCGGTATCTTTCGCGGATGTCCCGCTACATGTGCGTACGTTAAATTTCCATCGCACCGTACGCAGCTGCGGGGGCGTGGGGGGGACGGGGTAGGTGCAGAACTAAACGAACCCCACAAAGCACTCCCTAGGGAATGAGTTTTCCAATTCAGGTGATTTAAAAGTGCATCGCAGCTCCCAAGTGGCTCCCACCCGTCGGAAGGAAGAGAGAGCGTTCCAGACGGCCATTTCCATCGCACCGTCCGCAGCTGCGGGGGCGGGGGGGGGAGAGGTGCAGAACTAAACCAACCCCACAAAGCACTCCCTAGGGAATGAGTTTTCCAATTCAGGTGATTTAAAAGTGCATCGCAGCTCTCCCCAGGTGCCTTCCCACCCGTCGAAAGGAAAAGAGAGCGTTCCAGACGGCCGCAGAAGCGCGTGATGGCTCAGCCAATGACGAGCCCGGAGTTGGCGTGACGGTCTCTGCTCACGTGACGAGATCGGCAAAGGTATCGTGGGGGGGGTGGGGGTGTCCGCGTGTTCTCATTTGTGGCGTGCCCACACAATGTGTTGCGACCTCCAACCCTTGTGAACGTTGCACGTCTTGGGGGGGGGGGCGGATTTGATGTTGGCTCGGCAAACACCGAGATCCCGGCAGGAGCATTGTCGGGATCTCGTTTTGTTACATTCGAAAAAATAAATAAAATAAAAACGTGAACACTTCTGAAGCGTTTGCAACAATGACCACGAGAAATGTGCGTCCGGACTCTGGAAGACCCACCTGGAGAAGATTCCAGGGATTTTTTTGACAAGTGGGAGACTCTTTATAAGCAAAATTTAACGTACGTTTTGTTATCATTTTTTTTTATTTAAAGCTTTCGTGACTGCAGGGATTCGTGTTCTCGGTTCTTTCGGTGAAGTCGCCACGTAGATAGGGAAGCAATAAAATAATAATATGAAACAATACAATTTACCGCGACGTTTCGACTGCAACACAAGCAATCATCATCAGGTGTATTAGAGGCAGTCCATAAATGACGTCAGGCACCTAGGGGGGGGGGGGGCGAGGAGGGGTCAGACATTTGTGACGAGGGGGGTGGGGGGTTTGAGAAATGTGACGTCACGTCAAAATGCGCAACTTTAAATAAATATAGACAACACGTTCTACTTAATTAAAGACTTTTAAAATAAATGTTGTCTCCTACAACATCAGAGTGCAGCGCCACATTAAATACGCACTACAATGACAATAGTTTAAAGCGATTTGACGCATGTTTTATATATATTTTTGGGGGGGGAGAGCTTTGTGACGTCATATTTGAGGGGGGGGTCTGACTTTTTGTGAGGCCGTGTGACGAAGGGGGGGGGGGGGTCAAAAATCGTCAAAAATCGCGTGACGTCATTTATGGACGGCCCCTTATCCGTTCTTTTTCCCATTTAAAACTATAGTCCCATGTA